AAGTACAGGTAGTCCTCGACTTACAACAGTTCGCTTAGTGACTGTTCGAAGTTACAATGGCACTGAAAAAAGTGCCCCCCAAGCCACAGCCGAGCAAGACACCTGCCTGCCCACCCGGTGGCGCTCTTCCTCCTGTCCGAGGTTTTCATTGTTGTGAGCATTTCTGTTGAGGATTGGCAGCGGGGGTGGGGTGGGGGGGAGTGTTTGGTTTTTATTCCCCCCCATCTGCTGGGTGGTTGCAGCAGGTTTTGGTCACTTCACATGACCCTGGGACACTGTGACCGTCATAAATATGAATCAGTTGCCAAGCATCTGAATGTAAATCACAAGACCCTGGAGATGCTGCAACATTCCAGCTGATCGGCGCTTCTTCTGGGCTCAGCAGAAGCTCCAGGATCAGCGCTGAGCTCCAGCTGGATCCTGGCACTGATCCTGGCGCTTCCACTGAGCCTTGACAGCCCCGAAGAAGTGCCAATCAGCTGGAAAGCGGCACTGATCCTGGCGCTTCCGCTGAGCCCTGACAGCCCTGCAGCTCCAGCCGTCTCTCGCTCAGGCTTATGCGGTGCTTCCACAGGTTCAGCTCATTCCCCTCCCCCACTACCACTTTTCTAGGATGGTGGCGTACCACTTGCCAGGTGCCAATGTACCACAGGTGGTACCTGTACCACTGGTTGAAAAGCCCTGATCTAAAGCAACTGTGGCTGCTGTCATAACAATCCGTCTCCGAGAGAAAATTTGTTTGTTGATTACCAGGGAGTGTTGCAAGTGTGGGTCAAAGTCATGTACCGAATACCCAGCTCATAGAACATCCTCAAGGTGGCCAGGCTGCTGTCAATGGAATGGCCACCTTCAATGCCGATCAAGCAGGCAATCTTATTGTTGCTGAGAGTCTCTATGCCTGGAGTCCAAACAGAAAGAGAGCCCTCTAGTAAAGACAGAGCATCAGAGGAAACCTACAGTTTAGAGCAGATGTGTCTAACTTTGACAAGTTTAAGACTTGTGGACTTCAACTCCCAGAATTTCCCAGCCAGTCAGTCTACAGGTAGTCTTCGGCGTACGACCACAATTAAAGCCCAGCATTACTGTGGCTAAGCCAGACATGTGTTAAGTGAGTTTTGCCACAGTTGTTAAGCAAATCCCTGCAGTTGTTAAGTTAGCAACATGGTTGTTAAGTGAATCTGGCTTCCCCCATTGACTTGGCTTGTCAGAAAGTTGCAAAAGAGATCACGTGACCGTGGGACACAGCACCCGTCGTAAGTATGAACCACTTGTTGAACACCCAAATACAAATCACATGACCATGGAGATGCTGCAACGGTTATAAGTATGAGAAATTCTCACAAGTCGCTTTTTTCAGGTTGTAGCTTAGAATGGTCACTAGACAAACTGTTGTAAGTTGAGAACTACCTGTATAAAAACTAGCACAACAATTTCAGCTTATGTATGGCCCAATAAGCGTTGATTGGAACATAAGACTGCGTAAGAGGATATTCCTCACCCCTGGAATTTAAACACATCACATGGACAAGGAGCATAGGTAGAGTTGCATGTTTCTTATCTCTTATACTTTTGTCTAATGTTTCTTTCATTGCGCAAAGGAAACAAAATTTACCCTCTGAAGATGTCAGCAGTTCCAATTCTTCATAGTCTTCACACATCCGTCTGACAACATCAATTTGTTCTAGTGTCAAACGTACAGCATCTTTGTTTTGTGCACTGCAGAGAACATATACTGACCAAAACTGGGAAAATTTAGAAAATAGGAGGCGGAATGAGTATAAACTATGTTTCCTACCTTGAGTTATTTATAAAAATCATAAAGGCAGGGTTAAAAAAATGTAATAAACAAGTAAAATAAAGGTGGCAACTGCTAGAGCAATTCAATGAAGTACTTCAGTCCTTGTATCATGTGAAGCATCAATTTTTTTCACCACTGCTCTCACCATTGTTGGCCAACCCCCATTCCGGCATGTATCTTAGCTCCTAGTTTTTCCTTGGGACTCAGGTAGCACTTACCTGCACCCCAACATGGCCAGCCTGGAGCTTCTCAATGTTTGTGTTGGTGGTTTCGAGTTTCTTCAAGTCAATTGTGCTTAGCTTGTTGTTGTAGAACCATCTTAATTTCAAGGGCAGATCATTGTGTCTGAAAGATAAGACAGGAGAATTAGAACAATGAATCAGTGGAATAGAACAATTAATCAGTGGAACAACCTGCCTCCAGAAGTTGTGGATGCTCCAACACTGGAAGTTTTAAAGAAGAGACTGGACAGACATTTGTCCGAAATGGCATAGGGTTTCCTTCCTGAGCAGGGGGTTGGACTAGATGACCTCCAAGATCCCTTCCAGCTCTATTCTATTCTGATGCAGCCCCAACGGTCCCAACATCCGAAGCATCAAATGCTGGGAAAACTCCGAGCTGCTCAGAATGTTCCCAAGCTCCAGAGATAGATCTTAAAATTGTATTAATTAGCAGAATACAAGATATTTTTTTTGTACCTTTCAGCTAGTCTTTATTCCTGGCGACTGCTGGAAAAGTCCCTGCAGTTTTCTTTGCAACTTTTTTCAGAAATAGTTTGCCATTGCTTGCTTCCAAGGGCTGAGAGAAAGTGACCAGTCCAAGATCATCCAGTTGGCTTTGTGTCTAAGGCTTGACTAGAACTCACAGTCTCCCGGTTTTTGCTCGGCACCTTACCCACTACTCCAAACTGGCTCTCCGTAGGATTATTGCCATGTATGTCACCCTGTACGAACTGATTGACATGTGTAGCCTTCAGTAAAAGCCAAGTATTAAAGAGAGTCAGTTTGCAGTAACCAGCTGAGTGACCTTGGGCCAGTCCCTCACTCTCAGCCCTAGGAAGGAAGCAATGGCAGACCACTTCTGAAAAAAGCTGCCCAGAAAACTGCAGGGACTTCTCCAGGCCTCCCCGGGAGCCAGTGCTTACTTACTACTTAACACTGACACAAAGAAGCAAAAAAAAAAGAAAGCAAACAGAAAGTTATTCAGAATATGCTGACTACAAGGGGCCATACTCATCTCCATTTCAAGGCCATGGAGCCAGCGGTGTCCAAAGACATTTCTGCGGTCATGTGGTCTGCTTGACATCACAGAGCATTGTTACTTTCCCACCAAAGTGGTACCTATTAATCTACTCGCATTTCCATGCCTTTGAACTGCTCGGTGGGCAGGAACTGGGGCAAAGGATGGGAGCTCACCCCGTCGTGTGGCGCTGGGGTCTTCAAACCCAGGCTGCCAGCTTTCCAGCTGACAAGCCCAGCGTCTTAACCACTGAACCGCAGCACCACCCTATCAGAATAGGATTCTAGTCAAATCATAGCTTTGCTGTTTTATGTCTGCAAGGAAGGAAACCCACGTACCCGTCTATTAGCCGAGATGTCGCCATGAGGTCAAGAACTTCAGTTCTCAAGGATTCATTAGTTGCTCTGGATCCCCAAATGTCCACCAGCAGAAAGAGTAGCCCCAGAAGCACCACCATCACTGGATCCCAAGGAAGTCCACCAGCTAAATGAGATGCCTCCAAATATATATATATATATATTTTCTTGGATAAAAAATGAGCACTGTTTTCGTCCACGTTCGAGGAGACTCTTCACGGAAAGGGTTTCAAACCCAGTGAAAAGAGGTAATCAATCTCTGAAAATCTTTACGCAATCAGCCTGCTGTTGACAAAGGAAGAAAAAAAGGAGACGTAATGGGGACGCTCTCATCATGCTGCATTAAAAAAACAATATACATTTCTCTCAGGCTTTTCAACACCGAGAGCTCCTATCCCAAATAACATTACACAGAAACCTCTGGGAATTTCTCTCAGATAGAAAATATGCACTCACGTCTTCCCGAAACTTTGCCAGAATAGATTTTTTCTTACTGAAGGCCAGATTTGCCTCTGGGCAGCCCTAATATTTACAACATACAAACCAAAGAGGCATCAGACCCAACAAAATGTCAAGGAAAGACATTTTAATTTTCATACATTCAAAGCCAGGATTGGCCGAGCGTAGGACGAAAATTTGTTTGGGGATATATTTTTTTCCAATCCCGCCCATGCACAAACGTGCGTAAAGATCGGGGCTAAAAAAAGAACTTGCTGACAATAAAAAATGTTCTTTCTTCTTAAAAGAGAAAGCAACGTTTTCTTCCGTTTGCAGTATCAAAGACAAGTTTTCCTCCATCGCGTAATTTATGAAGAGCCCCATCTCAGAAATTCCCAGCTGTGCTGTTGCTGAGAATTCTGGGCATCAAAATCCACCTACACTAAATGGTTCAATTAGGAACCGTTCAAAGTTATAACATCCCTGAAAAAAATATGACCCTTTTTCACACTTATAACCGTCGCAGCGTTCCCCTTGGTCATGGGATCCAAATTCGGATGCTTTGCAACTGGCTCGTACTTATGACAGTCGCGGTGTCCCCGGGGTCACGTGACCTGCTTTTGTGACCTTCTGACAAGCAAAGCCAATGGGGGAGCCAAATTCACTTAACAACCCTGTTAGTAACTTAACAACTGCCGTGATTCACTTAACAACTATGGCAAGAAAGTTCGTAAAATGGAGCAAAACTCACTTAACAAAAGTTTCGCTTAGCAACATAAAGTTTGGACTCAGTTGTGGTCGTACGTCCGGAACTACCTGTATCTGAAAGTTCACAAGACTGAGGAACCTTGTAAAAAAAATTCGCTTTTTGGAGGCAAGCCAGACTTTCCCTAGCTGGAGTGAATCCCGTTGGGGAGCCAAAGATGGGAGGATTTCTTCAATGGATTGAGAGGATATTTCTTTGTAGAAAGTTAGATTAAGAAACAAATGCAAAGTAAGAATCTGAAACAACCTTAGAATCCTTAAGAGCTTGGCATCCTACAATGCTAGCTAAATGGAATGGAGGAAAAGAAGCAAAACAAACACGCGCCACAAAAATAGTTAAGAAAAACAGATTGTGCAGCGTGACTAAAATCTATAAAAGGAAAAGAGGGGGAGGATGGGTGTGTTTAAATCATTTTGCTGTGCCATTAAATATGGATTTCCTCAAAGGCCTTTGCAGAGTTTAGGTAAGGTGATTGGGCAGCCAACATATATGTTAAATAGTCATTTCTTCTAGAGGATTTTCCTGACCGTAGTTCTTCTGCAGGCTTTTAATCCACACCAGCGTCTCCCACATTCATTACCGTGTATCTCAGCCATCTTCAATCTGTCCTCCAATTGTGTGAGTGAGATTACACTCCCCAGAATTGTGTCAACAAACATCTGAAGGGCAGAAGGCTGGAGAAAGCTGCTACAGTTCCTTGAAAGCACATCACACAACATTCATCTAAAACTTATTTCTGAACAGAAGATTGTGTTATGGACACAGAGAAGATGGGGGTGACTGGAAGTTGAGAAATGCATAAGACTAATTGTGTGAATGAGATCCATGTGCCTCTTTCAGACATTTAAAACCTGAACAAATGGCAAATTTGGAGGATAGAGGGACAAAATCTCTCCTGAACCATTATTTGCAATTCAGTGGAGTGTCCCCTTGCACCACAAAGGTTCATATAGTAAAAGTTGTGGTTTTCCAGTAGTAAAGCATGGCTGTGGGAGCTGGACCATAAGGAAGGCTGAGTGTCAAAAGAATGGATGCTTTGCAATTATGGTGATGGAGAAGACTCTTGAGAGACCCTTGGAGATCAAATCAAAAGACCCCAATGTTGGGGAAGATGGAAGGCAAAAGAAGAAGTGGACAGCAGAGGATGAGATGGTCAGATAGTGTCATTGATGCAATGAAGGTGAATTTGAGCAAACTCCGGCAGACAGGGAAGGACAGGGGAGCAGGCTGTGGTCCACGGAGTTGTGAAGAGTCAGACACAGCTTAGTGTCTGAACAAAAATCCCAGACAATACATAGGAGAAAGGAAAGGGGCTTCAGTTGTGTCTGTTGAGGTTCTCAGTCATCCAGGTCCAAGGTGCTTTTTCAAGAGGCAACTGGACTTTCTTTGTTTTTCCTTGAAGACATTTCTCTCCTCATCCAAGAAGCTTCTGCAGTTCTGATTTAATAACTGAATAGCAACAAGTGCAACCTTTCAACCTCGCTTTCAAAAATTTGGCAGTTTGTAACTAGGAAAGCAGCGCTCCGATTTCCCTTGGTTTAGCTTGGTTAAAACCTGCACAGGAATTGCTTTAATCATAATAATGCAATATCTGCTACTTAGCTACAGGTTGTCCCTCAACTTAGAACCGTTCATGCAGAGACTGTTCGAAGTTACAACAACACTGAAAAGAGTGACTTATGACTGGTCCTTGCCCATACGACCATCTCAGCTTCTCCACTGTCACGTGACCGAAATTTGGGTGACTGTCAACCAGGATGTGTTTACAGCATCCCGGGGTCAGGTGATCCCCATTTGCAATCATCCCAGTTGGCTTCCGAGAAGCAAAGACAATGGGGGGGGGGAAGGTGGATTCGCTTTATGACCACATGATTCACTTAACAATTGCAGTGATTCACTTAACAACCCTGGCAAGATGATCATAAAACCGGGCACATGCTTAGCAACGGAAATTCTGATTCCAACTGTGATCGTAAATCGAGGACTACCTGCATGCACAGGATGCATAGATGAGCAGGTGTTCAACCACTGATCTGCTTGATGGATTCTGATAAGACAGTATATAATGAGGCACATGATATTTATATAAAAACAATGGATTCTCGTGCTACTTTTAAATCCAAGTTTAATGTGGCATAAACATCAGTTGATATACTGTAGACATTGGCTCACAAAAGCCTGCATTGTGATAAATGAGCTAGTGTTTTAAGAGTCACCAAACTTTCTGTTGTGCTTTTTTACAAAGGCTGCAAATGTCATGTTTCCTTAGGCATCTATTTGGGACAGGTGATTTATTTTTGGAAAAGGCACTTCTTTTCTATCAATCAAAGGAGGCAGCAATATGTTTTACTACTGCAGAGATGTTTGTGATATTCTACAATAGTATTTGGAACTGATTATATTAGAGGCGTAATTTATTATATTACAGGAGTAATTTATTGGCAAAACAGGGACTATTGATCACTATAAAATATAAGATTTTTTTTCTTTTCAGTTTGTATTTTTAGAATGAGGTGGTCTCTTTTATAATTGGGGTTAAGGGGTTTTTTTTTAAGATTAAATATTATTATGCTAATTGTTGCCTGTATAAAATTTTTGGAAAAAGAAAAATTAAAGTGAATGTGCATAAAACTGGGGAAAAAAACCATACACTGGGGATATTTGTCCATCTCTGCTCGGTTTCTGTTAATGGAAAACCTGGAAAACTCAAAAGGATCTACACGAGCTATGTCAATCTGATGCACAAAGGATTCTTGTAATACTTTTCGCATACGCATTATAGCATAGGAACTTCCTTAAAAGGCAAAAAAGGCAAAAAGTCCATTAATTCATCCGTGTTGCACATCATCAGAAACAAATAAGACTGTCCTTAATAGGAATTGTTGGAGGTGCCTATGACAAAAGCTTCCGCGGGGCTAAAAGCTGGAAACATCCAGCTACATGTTCTCAATCTTGAATGAAATTCTTCCGGGTTTTCCCTTCGAGCATCTTTCCCTTCAAGCCTGCCTTCCATGTCCTGTCCTAGAATATGAACTCAGAACTACCACCTGCTCTGTCTAAGGAATAGATCTGGGGTTTGGGGACTCTTCCAAAATCCAAACAAATAAAAAAGCTCTTTCAAAACAATAAAAAAGAGGCTAAACCGTACAACGAATGTATTGAGAGATCTAGATATGTCTAATCTAATGAAGAGAAAGACTCGGGGAGACACGACAGCAATCTTCCAATACTTGAGAGGCTGTCAAAGAGAAAAGGGAGTCAACTTATTCTTCAGAGCACCTGAAGGCAGGAGAAGAAGTAATGTGTGAAATGATCATTAAAGAGAGATTCAACATAGAACTAAGGAGAAATTGCCTGACACTGAGAACAATTAATCAATGGAAACTCTTGCCTCCAGAAGTTGTGGATGCTCCATCACTGGAGGTTTTTTTAAATAATAATAATAATGATGATGATGATGATGATGATGATGATGATGATGATGATGTTGGAAGGGACCTTGGAGGTCTTCGAGTCCAACCCCCTGCTCAGGCAGGTAACCCTATACCATTTCAGACAAATGGCCATCCAGTCTCTTCTTAAAAACTTCCAGTGTTGGCGCATTCACCGCTTCTGGAGGCAGGTTGTTCCACTGGTTAATTGTTCTAACTGTCAGGAAGTTTCTCCTTAGTTCTAGGTTGCTTCTTTCCTTGATTAGTTTCCATCCGTTGCTTCTTGTCCTGCCTTCAGGTGCTTTGGAGAATAGCTTGACTCCCTCTTCTTTGTGGCAACCCCTGAGATATTGGAATACTGCTATCATGTCCCCCCTCGTTCTTCTCTTCATTGAACTAGACATACCCAATTGCTACAACCGTTCCTTGTATGTTTTAGCCTCCAATCCCCTGATCATCTTTGTTGCTCTTCTCTGTACTCTTTCTAGAGTCTCAACATCTTTTTTACATCGTGGTGACC